AAGTTTAGCTAAATTTTTCCTGCCATCTTCCTAGAAAACTCATACATGAAGACACGCCTCCATTCCTGAGAAGGCCAGGAGGGGTTAAAGGAGGGTTTGTTAGTTGATTAAGGACAGTTGCTTCTGACTACCATCTCAGATCGCCAAAGCGGGGATACTTTCGCATCAAAACCAGAACAGCTTTTTAAATACTCCTTTCTGCACGAAAGAAACGTGGTACGTGTTTCTCGTACGATCAGACTCCTTGGTTTCACTTATTTTTATTGTAAGCATGGTGTTGGAAGCAAGAAGCTGCCTTTTGCGGCGACGTTTTCAAGAACACCCAGCATTCCACCTTGGCACACATTGATTTCTGCCCGCGAAACTGCATGCCCCTCTTTGTACATTGTTCATCTAATGCAGTGAAATCCCGGTACCTAGGTAACGTGACACTTGCAAAGTAATCTCTCACGTCCACACAGTTTGCTTTACTGTAACTAAGGCAAGTGCATAGTGCTTCCGACCACTCAATCTAGTTGATTATCATTAATGGCCACTTAAGCCTAAAAAGGACTTATCACATTTCTCAATGAGAAGATTGCCCTACGTTAGTGCGTAGTTGGGACGTGATGCTTCTTAGCCTGCCCTCTTCGGATTCCTTCACACTCTGCCTAGAAGCCGACTGTGTTAAACGCATTTTTCGGCTGCTGACTGAATTTTCTGGCGGCATGTTCTCATTTCATCCTGGAGTAAATATGAAAACTGGGGAGCCATAACATGCAACTATTTTAATCTTGCATCCAACGATAATAATTTCCATGATGTTACAAATTCTCACCAGGGACACTTGCACAGTCCTGACAGGTAACTGGTGCAGCGGAGAGTGAAGGGAAATCATTAGGAATCTTGAAAGTCGATAAAAGTTGAATATCTGACAACTTTTGCTGTTGAGTGGAGGCACATACAGAGTGTCAACTCACCTCGTCTTATAAGGTCTCTGTTCATGCAGAGTATTTCTATATCCATCACACGCTGCATAAATTAACGGTTATCTGCCTCGAATATGTCAGCTTGGAATTCGTATTCTCAGTTTCGCCATTTTACCCCTCATATTACTGGATATGCCCTGCATAAAGGGCATGGCAGGACGTGCATACGAAGGCACGTGATTTCAATTTCCTGAAAGAGAGTTAAAGTAGCGACGAAGTCCGATTCCGGAACGTCTGTCGGTAGAGAATCTGCTTTATCCCGTTTTCGAACTCTCGTGACTCTCGGCTTGTGAACAGGGTATAGAAACGGGAGCTTCAGAACCTAGGGCACCTAGCTGAAAGCATGCTTCTGCATGATAACGGCGGATGGAAAAGATGTTAATGACTGCCACTCATCTTCACGCCTGAAGAATTCTTTTATTACTCCCACAAAGTCGGGTTCGGCCTCCTGTTGAGACTGTCACCTACTACAATCGCCTGCCAACCAAACCGAATGACAAATCATTGGGGGGCAGGATGAACCAATGGTGCGCTGATTTTGGCTGTCTACGGATGGTATTAGCTAGTGCAATTTCTGCGGCTACTTTGTATGCTAGTCACTTTCACTGATCGTAAAAGCAACGCTATTCTGCTGGGCTATCGACCATTAGCTCATTCACGCCATAAACAACTGTCACATAATCTTAATAACAATGTCTGGTTGGTTACAATAAAGGACATCCCCGACATCTTTTCACATGTTCAGATAGTCCTTTGGCCATGCTAAATTGCCTCCGGGGAGTCAACTGACTAAGCTAAGCCTATATCATTTCGTTGGAGAGGTGAAAATCCCAATGCCCAGTAGTACTCGACCAATGCTTGATGACCAAACTATCTTCTTTGGTGATGAATCAGTGAATGAGCAGACACTGACCAAGAAGTAGCTTTGAATATTGTCCCCCTTTTCCTACAGAAAAGCAAATGCAGTCTATAAGGCACTGATAGAATGTCGAGTAAATCTGTCTCAAAACTTTGGCCTAGAACCAACTAGGAATGATCAATAGTGCTTGATCTAAAACCTGTGAAATACAGGAGAGCTAAACTGGATTTAGTAATGTCATAAGTATCCTTAACTACTCATGAACACCCACCCACCTTATCACCTATCCAACTTCAATTGTAGCACCATTCTCAGAGAACGTATTGAAATAAAGTCTCGATTGATGTAGGATGGACATTAGTCACCACTTGCATTTCATTGGTGTTAGGCTATGCAATCTGCTCTCGGTTGGAGTGATCAGGGCTTTTTTCATAGCCCCTTGAAAGCTCATTTGAAACTTCTTAATGACATGATCCAGAGTTCAGTGATAACAAATTCCATCTTACTAATTTAACTACAGTCATTTTTTTCTTTTGTAGTTTCGCGCGTGTGATATACATTCACCAAAACTGTTGTCTAACTGATATTACAAATGGGAACTTGTTAAAGAGGAGCTTCATCCATTCCAGTGTCAACCATATGATGTCTGTTCAAGGTCACGGAGTGAGCTTAGGGAAAACTCTAACGGAAACTTGATCTTTTCCTGCCTATTTTACCTTTCTCTGTCTTTGTACCTAGGTTCTGAGACATAAGAAGCAGCAGTCCACTGTTTTTAAGCGTGTAAGTCAGCTGAACAAAAGATTTCACTTCGTCCTTAAAGTTCGAAACAATTTAACACTACGGAGCTCCTCCTAAAGCTATACAATACCAACGTAAGACCTCACATGCAGGTCTACAACTTCACTGCACCACCACACCTGAAAAGAGGTGTGAAACTCCTGGAGAAAGTCCAGGGGCGAGCAGTAAAGGGTGTTGTTGGAATCGGGGGAAAACCCTATGAGGACAGCATAAAAGACCTAGGGCTCTTCTCTCTTAGCTGCCGTAGATTACGCGATGACTTGATGTCGGCTTATCAAAAACTAAGTCATTCAAACAGTGGAATCCCAAGAACGGCCACTGTGGCGGTCCTCGTGGTAACCCAAAAAGAATTGCCAATTAGAGGACGAAGAACCATATGCGCTCACACTTCCCCTCTCCGCAAGTTTTCAGCCACCAAAAATCCTTGCTTGCCGAGATTGCTACTGCTCCGTCTACTGGCAGCTTCCAGGAGAGGTTGGAGAGCTATGGAGCGATGTACGGTTTGAGCTCTTCCAGCAAGGAATTTGACTAGGTTGATGCAACCCACTAACTCAGCACAAATTAGCACGGCTAGCCCATCGCGGTATTTTTTATAACGCCACCATCATCACAAACCCGGCTCCACCCTATACATCCCTGCAGACGTCTCCTACTAATAGTGTTACAATTTCTATTCCCACAAGCCATCTTATAATGTTATTTGCCCCTTCTCTTCCTACCGACTCATTTTCTAACATCATTTACTAAAAGCTCTCCTTATCACTCCCCTCCCACGAATCTCTCTGGGTTTCTTCTCCCGTTCCATTTCCTTACACCTTATCGATTTTTTGCTACTTTTTCTTACCACTTCCTCTCCTTTGATTTCCCTGGACATGTTTTGGATCTTCTTTTTATAACCAGTTCGACAAACTGTCTGGTGGTATGACACCTGAAGAACCCACCTGCATAGCAGTTCGTGAAAAAACCACATACTCCCTGCAAATTTAACCAGCACACGACCGCCAGTTGGGCTAACCACAGCTACACCAGGTGAGTGGGTGGAAGTACTGCACTGGAATCAGTCAGAGACCTGAAAACATTTTGCAAGACCTAGAAGCGAGTGCGAAGAAATCAACTGGCTTACACTAGCTCATAGCAAAATATTGGATATTGGAAGGTCAATCAGTGCGGTGAAGTTGAAATTTTGTGAATGCATGTGGTGATGCTGCGCTTTATTTTATGTCCTTGTTGACGTCAAGACGCTTGGGAAGATTACGGTTGCCATCACGTGTGTACTTCGCATGTTCGCTCCCCCTTCGGATGTTGACCTATGTTCCGACGAGGTATATTTATTTTCAGTTTTTTTCTCGTGCTCGAGCATCATTAATCAATTAACATACACTGAGCACGACCCATGTTTTTCTTCTTCAATTTGAAAGTCTCACAAGTAGTTTTTACTGAGTCATAATTCTTGCCATAAACTTCACTATATTTGGATATAGATGCACATGCAAAGGAATCTTACTGCCAAGAATTAAAGTTATCAGAAGTAAGACGAGAAACTGTTAGTAGTATTGGAAACGACTTATTCTCCGTGGAATTCAGGTGAATCTTGGAGTTATAAGGTGTGCTTTGAAACTTTTGCATGTGTTTTACTGCAGGGCTTTGAAAGTGCTTTCAGAATGAATACCAAAAGTCGTTGTTGACCAGTGCAGTTAAATTCATTGGGCTCTGTATACTTGTGCAAAGATAAACTTTTGGCTTCTCTATCACTAGTAATCCTCCCTGCGTTAACAGTCCTTCAATCCCATCACTAGTGGTACTTCAAGAGAGAGCAAAAACGCACCTAAATGACTTGAATGTCTATCGAAAAAGGTATATATTGTAAAACTGCGG